GCTCCGCCAGCCCCGCGGCTGCCGGAGAAGGCAGCGGGATGTTCGGAGCGGCCTGCGCGGGGAAGTTGCTCCGCAGCGATGGAGCTGAGCTCTTGGATTTTGGGCAGCATGGAGAGCTGTAGGAGGAGAGCAGCGAGGCAGCAGCGCAGAGAGCTGTTCAGAGGCCGCAGAGGTTCCCCGGAGCTCTCACTTCATGTGATATCCTCCAGAAACAAAAAGCCCAAGCCCCCAGCAAATATGTATCTCCCTCCCTCAAAGACAGATACACTGCAGCCCTGGAACAGAACCTGCAGGGCTGCCTGCAGGGCAGCGATTGACTCCTGAGAGCCAGGGGCTGCCGGGAAGCAGGGCAGCAGGAAGGTCACGTCCATGCAGGAGGCTCGGGGCTTGCGCCGCAGGCAGATGCTGCCCCGACGGCGCGCGCAGCAGTGCCAGCACCCAAGGGGACGCAGTCCGGGGACCTCGGTGCTGCAGCCTTGTTCCTTCCATTGTTTGCAAAACCTCTGCAGCAACTTGAAAATAAACATTTCACTCCCTACCACTTTGATCCTTTTCCTTTCAGCAAACAACCCATTTTTGCTCTGTGTTTGGAAGCCAGCTGAAATTAACAGTTTTGCTTTAATTTCTCACTTGAGCAACAAATGATCTCAACACTATTCTGGGAGAAGGGGAAAGTAAGAGCAGCTGACCTGTGAGGAACCTGCTCCCAGGGCTGAGTATATAAAACCCTATTTTGCACAAGGCCTATAAAAAGAGTTGCTCTTTATTTGTCTCACGGGGAGGACTGTAGCCAGCAGCTGATGACCTACGCAGCGCTGGCTGGGTTGAAATGGCTAAAATAATCTCGATGATGAGGCAGAGTGGTGGGGCCCTCGGGAGAGAGGAGAGGGGTGTGGGTGTTACTCACGGAGGAGTGGAGAGGCTGGGTGTTCATTGGCACCTGCCCAGAAGGAACAGCGTGTGCGAGCTCATACAACGATCCCTTGGGATCTCCCCATCCACCTCCTCGAAACGTCCTGCTCTGGCTGCTGATGTCATTAGGGATTTCTTCCCTTTGATTCCGCTCAGCAGCTGACATCATGAGTGCGGGAGGAGGAAGCAATCCAAGGAAAAACACTGAGGCGGCGCACCGGGAAGAAACTTGACTAAGACGCATCTATTTATATCTGACCTGAAATGGGCTTTCTGAATGGGGAGCTGGTCTGCGTGGAGGCTGGATGCGGGCAGAAGGTGCTGTAGTGCTGAGCACAGGCACCCGCTTGCCGGCGGAACGCATGTCCGAGCCACAGGAATGAAGGAAACCCGAGGAATCAGCGAGGTGCTCTCGAGTCCTGGCACGGAGAGGCGGCAGCTGGGGGGGCTTCACGGGCGTCGTGCTGCAGGCCCATGGAGATCGGTGCTGCCCGCGCGTGCGGGGTCGGTTCCTTGCTGGAGGTGAAGGGGGAGCTCCAGGTCCCTTGCGACTCGCCTGGAGGGTGAGAGGGGACGTCTCGGCAGGGCACCCCGCGGCCTGGCGCCGTTAGTACTGCTCGGAGAAGAAGGAAGCGTGGAGAGCAGAGGGACTGATGCCCTCTCCAGGCGGGGTGCAGCTGCCGTCCTCAGAGTGTTCTGACAGCTCCCCGTATTCACTGTTGTAAAAAGTCTGGCCTCCCACCTGGGAGCCATACGACGGCTGACACCTGCCCCGCAGGTCCGACTGTTCCCCTGACAGCTCCGCAGTTCGGCTGGGCCCTTTACTGCTGCAAGGGAGAGAGACGCAGAAGGTGAAGCCTGAGCCCTGCAAAGTTTCTGCCTGGCCTAGAGGGGTCCCAATGTCAGGAGACATCATCTGCTCACGGCAGAGACAGGGTCAGGAATGAACCTACCTCCACCTCCACCTCGAAGCACAGCACAGGTTTCACTTAGGTAACTAAGCACAACCCACATATGTTGTGAAAAATCTGTACATAGCCCTGCACTGGAGTTACGTGAGCTCATTTGGATGCCCCTGGGAAGCCCGGTGAAGGGTTGGGAACCCAAGGAACAGGGAGCAACAAGAGCCATCGCCTGAATTGCTCCTAGATCTGGTACCTGGCAGGAGTAACAGAAGTTGACGCAGACCCACAGCCCAGATGGGGGAAGATGATGGAGAGGACATGGAAGGAAAGGAGCAACTCCCTCCCAATGCCTGCCAAAACCACTGCAGAAAGCCACAGGGGTGGCAACAAGGGTACATTCAAGGGGAGATTTGGGAGGAGCAGTGTTTACTGGGAAACACGATGTCGGGTGGCCCCCAGTGTAGGAGACAACGGGAAGGTGCCTTAGGGAGGAAAGGGCAAGAAGCAGGTGATGGTCTGATGCAACAGCAGATGTGGGCAAAGACAAAGACCAGCTTGAACAATGTGGGAAAGAGAAGGTGAGGAAGAGGCGTGGGACCCCAGCTAATGACTGGCCTTGTCTGTGCACGAGCTGACCCGGCTCGCTCAACCCACTGTCACCGGGATGAGGTTCCAGCCTGCTCTGGCACCGAGCAGAAATGAGGGGAACAGGTTATTAGAGAGGCTTCAAACCATGATGCTAAACACCCCTGGCCCCTGAGCACTGTCAGAGCAACCTGCTGGACTCGGTCCCTCTACAACGTGCAACAGGGCTAGAGCCAAACTAATAGGGTTGGGGGAACCCCAGGGAGGTGGCAGCCACATGGCTTCATTCTTTCCACCTGCTACCTTTGAACAAGCCCTGATAGACTTCACTGGAGGATGCCAGAAGGTAACAAAAACCCTAGTAACACCACCACTCCAGTATGCCTTAGTGGACGTGTTCCATAAGGAACATGTTTTGGTTGAATGGGCACAGTTTATGTCTTGAAAGCCTAGGAAGCAGTACGGGCAAGTCCAGCTTTGCCTCTCATTAATGTGTATGCAGAGTCCACGGCGCTGTGCTGAGAGCCCCGTGAGGCCCAACCTAACACCATGAGCTGCTTCCCACTGCCTTTGGCAGCAGGGAGGTCTGAGGGGCCAGACTTAAGGAGTACCTGAATCCACCTTCTTTTCTGTGTCGGTTTTCTATCCTCTCAAATTCCTCAGATGCCAGAACCATCCCACTGTCTGTCTGATTGTCCTGGAAGGAAGCAACAGGAGTTATCAGCAACATCCCTGTCGACTGATGAGACTGGGAAGGGAGGTTGAATCATTCATTCAAAGCAATGGAATCATTCAGGAGACTAGATCATGCATGTCTGAGATGGGAAAAGGACATAAGGGCATTTTGCCAGCATGCTTCATGGTCTTGCTGGAACTGGTTTTCTTACATGCCTTCTGCAAAGCAGCACATACAAAGGTAGGATTTGTGCATTCAGTTCAGTGTTTCCTTAGGGGAAAAGAAATGATCCCTGCTGCAAGAAGTGGGATGTAAGAGGAGATTTTTCTCCGATACTATGGTTTTGCCACTGGCAGAGATATAAGTACTAGCCCAGTTCACAGAGGCTGGGAGGGCCCCCCAAGCGCTGCTGTGTGGGTCAGGACAGGGGAGCTCCAGGTGCAGACAAGCACTCTGGTTTTACCTAGTTCTATGTGGATTTTGGTAGGCTTAACCAGGCTGTGTTTACAGATCTGAGCAGGGTGATGAACATCCTCCTCACTGAGGTCCTTTTTAGGCCTCGCTTGCAGATCTAACCTCCCTATTTCACGCTCAGACAGTACAAACTGTGCTATAAAGAAACCCTTATATGCCAGGTGGAGACATGAATGTGCACAGGACTGGACAGGAATGACATGGACAGGCTGACATTTGATAGGGATGGTATTCCTTCCACAATCTTAACAGCAAGGTGCCAGGAAACAAGTGAACATTTCTTTGTGTCCTGCTCAGTCCCACTCAGCTGCTACTCACCGGGTGTGCCTTGTACATCGTGTGTGTCATGGGAAACTCTTCAAATGTCTTTATCCTGGACGGACACCTGATCTGATTTCCTCCCGTCAAGCAACCAGGGAACGAGACGCAGTTGTAATATCTACCAACAGAAATGCACTGTATTCAGTAAAACCAATAAAGGCAGTTTCTAGAGCTGGGCACAAACAGGAGCTGAACCCAGGCATCCCTCACAGCAACTAGTGTATGCAGGGATGTGCATGACCCACAGGATGGGTTTTTGGAGGAGAATGGGCTCGCTTGAGGCCTTTGCACCCATAATCCTTCTGCATGGGAAGTTCCCAAACAAATTTCCCAGTTGACTCTGTCCTCTGCTTACCCATAGACAGGGCTGTTGACACACTCCTGGACAGCCAGGATAAGTGCAGAGCAAGGAATCTGCACTGCTGGCATGCAGTTACCCAAACTGCAAAGGTAAGTAATGTCTTACAGATCTGAAGCGTCACTGTGCCACAGCTCCCAGCAGCCTAGAAGCCTCGGCCTAATTGTTCGGGTTGTTTAGAACAGACAAGGTAAAGCCCTTGCTCTAGCAGAGGCTCAGCTGACATATTCCTTCCTCATCTGCCTCATGGGCTGCAAAGCTTTAGTGGGATGTGATGTTCAGGCAGTGCAGCTGGAGGCAGGAGGATTGTCATAGCCTCAGACATCAGGTACTCCTGCTCATCAGTAAAGTGTATAAAAGCAATAAGCTGTGGCATAAATGTTTGACTCAGACCTGTTCTCACTGCTGGTTTGTCCCTGTATCCCTCAGGCAGCCCTCCTGGCTGCCTGCGGGGCTCTCTGCCCTTTCCAGGGGGATTCACCTTGCTGCTAGACTGTGGCAGCGTATCCTCATGTCAAAGTCCTCTTCATCTGAGTTTTGCTGCACAGAGGAAGGCACCTGGGAGAAACCATCATCTTCCGAGCTGTGGGAGTCGTTCAGCGGGATGTAATCTTTTCCTTCCTGGTAGGAGGAAGAGTGAGTGGCTTTACAAGAAGGGGAGGAACCCGCAGGAAAGGGCTCTGCAAACAGAAGCTGTCAGAAGTGGGGAGCAATATTCCTATTATATGTCTTCTATTTCTCTGGGACAAAATATCCACCTGGAGATTTCAGTGCCTTTTGCATTAAGAGGCTGCAAGGGCTGCAGGTGTGTGAGGGGTGTGAACAGGAAGGCAACCAAGTCCTACAGCACCTGCAGTTCTCCAGCATCCCCAGCTGGCCTGTGCGTTAGTGTCACGACACGTGGACCGAGCGCCGTGCTCCAGAGGCCCATCCCTGTGCCCGGGCTGTGCATGTGCTGCGCAGCGGGGTGGATGGGACACTACTGATATTTCAGCATTTAGCTGTCATATTCTAAACCAGAACACCAGAACATTTTTTTAAAAAAAGGGACAAAATCAGAGCAGCACACTCACTGCTGTTAAAAGTGCTGGTCAGTTACCACATGACAGTAATTAGTAACATTTTCATAGAAATCTGTACATCTGACTGCCTGTAACAGCACAGTTGCTTGGTTCACATGGCCCTGACATTTAGATCTGAAGATAGAGTTTTAGCCAGCCTGGTGAAGTTCTGGTTTTCATAACGCTGTTGCAAGGGAGGCAGAAGTGCCAGGGCCTTGAGTCAGCTGAAAAAATTCAGATAATCATCAGGGGATTAGGATGGAAATACTGGAATGACGACTGAGAGGACACCCGCCCTGCAAGCAGTGGAGCTGTATTAGGATGCAGTAAAAGGGCTGCTGCAGAAAAGGTCTCTCCAGTACCGCAGGGGCACAGACATTTTTGTTCCCTGGAATCTTGCATTATCTCCTGACCTATGTCAAGGGGAGCTACCAGTGCAGGAAGGAGGAGCTGTCTGGACCTGAGCAGTGGGTACAGAGAGGTTTTCACCTGCTGGACGTTTTCCTGAAGCAGATTTCCCAGGATCTCTACTAGGTCAGAGAAAGTTGGTCGCTCCTTGGGATCCCCGTGCCAACAGCTCAGCATGATCCGGTAACTGCCAAGAAGAGATGGTGGTTGTATGTGTGAGCAGAACCCAGCCCCATCCCACACAGGGGACAGAGCATTGCTCTGCTGGGAAGGAAACCTTGCTCCCTAGCACATTGGACATGATTCTAGATAGCCCCGGGCCTGGATTTGAGCCCATTGACTTGCCCTGCAGGCAGCTGCCTGGAGAATAAAAAGGAAGTGTTGCCTTGTTCCCCGCACTGTCTGAAAGGGCTTTCCATCCAACAACGGGGCTCGCTCTGACTCACACGGGGACGCAGGAGGTTTTGGACTCACATTTCCGCTGTGGCATACTCTGGGGCTCTCATCCTGGTACCGTCCTTGAGTCTCTGGCAGAACTCCTCGTTGATCTGGACTCCAGGGTATGGAGATGCCCCTAAAGGAGGTCCGCAAGGGGTGAAGGGGACGGAGGATTAGATGCACCATCAAAAACCAGCCCGTCTCCTGAGGCTGCTGAAGTGCTGGGAGATGCAGCCTGGGTGCTGCTGGACACAGGCCCCTCTGCCACGGCCAGGAGGCCACCCCTGCCTTCCTGGCTGCCCTCCCCTGCGTCTGGGGAGAAGGCAGCCTCTACATTTGTTTGGCCCATGTTGGTGTCTCCTCCTGCACACCCACTCAGTGAGCCGCTACATGGGAATAGCAGCTTTGCCTTCCCTGGCAGTGTGTGGACTTCGTTAGCACTCACCTAGTGAGAAGATTTCCCAGAGGAGGACTCCAAAGGACCAGACATCACTCTGGGTAGTGTAGACCTTGTCAAAGATGCTCTCTGGGGCCATCCACTTCAGTGGGAGACGAGCCTGCAGGAGGAAGAGGTGAGACCTGGGTGTTCGGTGAGGGGATATAGCCTAGGGCAGAGCTGCTGGAATCCATGGGAGGGAGGCAAGGAAGTGGACCTGGAAGCCCTCCATGTAGGAAAAGATGTTTGATTAGGCCAGTGGGAGAGACTGAGATGCTAAGGGCTGGTCACTGAAAGGGAGGGAATGGAGATGAACAAGGGAAAAAAGAGGAAAGATAATAAAGAAGAGTGAGTTAATGCCGGGCTGAGTGACAGGAAGGAGACAGAAGCCAGGTCCTGGAGGAGGACTGCACAACCATCCCAACAGAGCCTGGTCCCAACCACACAGTGGTTACACCCATCCCTTCCCATTTCCTTTTTCTTAGATTATTCCAGTCCCAGGATAGTTCATGAGCAGTTATCAGAGGCCTAGTCTATACAGGGTTTGAGGAGATGGCACTCACACTGCCTTTCCTGACATAGTCAGGGTCCTTGTAGATGTCCCGGGCCAGGCCGAAGTCGCAGATCTTTACCACGTTGTTCTCTGACAGCAGGATATTGCGAGCAGCTAGATCTCTGTGGATGCACTGAGGGCACACAAAGAGGACAGGGGCAAAATCAGAGGGACAGGAACCACTATGACAAAACGCAGAGCTCTCTCCTCCCCTTGTGGACCTTAGCTATAATGGAGGAATGATGGAGGAGGGAAGGAGTTAAAGACAAAAACCAAAACAGGAGATAACTAAAGAGGAGATGAAAAGCAGGAGAACAGAGTTCCTGCCTTTTTCTTGCCACAGATTTCCTGAGTGACATGAGACAGATCACTGAATCTCTCTGTGTGTCATCTCTAAATCAGCCACAAGCAGCTCTCTTGTGTGCAGGGTTTTGTGGCAATAATCAGTAGCCATGAAGCACACACAGCAACACTAGAGATGGAAAAGGCCAGGCAGAGAGACTGGCTACCATGTATGTCTGTATATGTGTGTATGTGTGTACTCCAAGGCTCTGTAGTTACAGCAACAGTCCACACCAAGCTTCCTCTGCTCAGGTGGGCACACAGGGAGATGAGCAAGGGAAAAGGGGGGACTCACCTTTCGGGATGCCAGGAACTCCATGCCACGTGCTACCTGGAAGCTGTAGCAAATCAGGTCTTCCATAGTCAAGGGACTTTGCCACAAATCATCCACTGTCCAGGAGCACAAGAAAAGAAGGTTGTTAAACAGCAAATTGTCTTTTGTCCTCCTTGCCTCCCTCCAGGACTGCAGGACAAAACTAGGCTCTTGGTGGGATACAGCTACTTCCTGGTGCTACCTGGAGTAAGAGCTAAACAGGGCTGTTCTGGCAGAAAGAACATGGCAGAAAAAACCTGCTGATGTGAGAGGAGAACAACTCCAGCCTCCAAAAGACCTCACAGTCAGATGGAGGTGTGGGGAGCAGGGCTGGAAGGGGTTTTAAGATCAACTCATCCACTTTTTGCCATAGGGAGGATCCATTCCTTGTCTCTGCTCCCTTTAGGCTAAAAAATCCACAGTAACTTAATCCTCCCTTCTAGGATTTCTAGATCTCTCATGATCCTTCTTGTCCTAGCTCTGCTTTCACTAGCTGGTCTCCATCCTCTCAAAGGACATACCCAGCCCTGGTACCCACAACCAAGTGATGAAAGGCAGGTTGCTGAAGGGACCATATTCATCAACACTGTCTATAGGCTGGTGTGATGCACCCGGGGACTGTCATATTAGCCCTCTGTGTATGCAGGACATGCTGTAATAAAAGGTCTGTCCCAGCCCTGGAGAACAGGCTCTATAAGAGACAACAGTTGAACACGACGGCCCTGTTGAGGGAGCTGCCGCACAGCTGTGGAGCCGTCAGTGCTCACATTCATGCCCTGCTCAGGGCTGGCTGAGCGTGGCAGTCGTTCAGAAGGGCAGCGGAGCTGCCGCCAGGCCAGGGCGTTACCTTCCTGGATGGGCTGTGCTGGGTGGCTCTTGTGCATCAGCAGGCGGCTGAAGATAGCGCTGTCGCTGGTCCCCGAGCGGCTCCTCCGGTCTGCCCTCACCGCCTCCACGATGGACTGAACCTGGATGCGCAGCCTGGGTGACTTCTCCTGGCAAGGAGACCAAGACAGAAACCTCAGCAGGTTCCATGAGCTAAATGGTCTTGTCCTGCTGTTAGCCTGTAATCCTGGCCTGGAAGCACCTATCGACCACTGCAGAAAGAAATTACTCCCCTGATGCTGCAGATGAAGCAACATCACTTTTTGGAGCTGACCTGCTGCTAGACAGGGGATATCTTTGTCCCACTTACAGATAATGTTCTGAACCACACATCTTCCTTCCCTAACCATGGGGCAGGTCCCTAGGGACAAAGGAGGCTACCTACTCTATAAGGACTGAATCCTTCCCTCTTGGTCCGCAGGTAGTTGGAGAGGTTTCCATACTTGCAGAACTCGACGATAACCATTAGTGGTCCTGAAAAACAAGGACCGAAGGAAGTAGTAAGGACTTGGGGTGGTCGGAAGCTGACACGGCACCTGCCCAAAGCACCGATCTTCATAAGCAGGCGCAGCCCCTCGCCCTGGGTTATTTACCATTGGGTTTGGTGCAGGCGCCCAGCAAATTCACCACGTTGAGGTGATTCCCGATGTGAATGAGGATCTTCAGCTCTGACATCAGTGCCTTGTGCTCACTTGCAGTAGCTCCCTCTGGAAACACACAGAGCAGGTCAGGACTCCTCCTCACAGCCCTTTCAGCCCACCTCATCACCCTTCTTCTCTTAACACACACCATAATGGTGTTTGTTAATGCAGTTCTCCCTGGGCAGGCTATGACCCTGAAGCCTTTGCTATTTATTATATATATCCCTGTGAAATGTCAGGGCCTTGACTGGAGTTCCTTGGATCCCTAACTGCAATGTGTGGCATGGTCCCTGTATGGCAGCAGGGAGCTGCTGCAAAGGAAAACATGAGTCCAACAAACTTCTGCTTGTGGCAGTTATGCATAGAAAAGCTCCCTTGAAGCCTACATACAGCTGCACATGTGCTTGAATCTCTTCCCTTTTGGCCTCCAAACAGTTAACGAGCCATAAAAATCACTAGCCATAAAGCCATAAACATTTGAAAGAAAATCAGAAACAAAAGGCATCTGAATCTTAGGATTACGACTGAAGATAGAAGTTATTTCACCTCAACTCCAGAAGATGATCGCCTTCTAATTCCCCTCCTACACAAAACATACAGCACTGTGCCCCTGCCAGTTCTCTCTCCTACATTTCCTCTCCAAGTGCCTAACTCACCCCAACCTTTGCTCCTTTATAGGTATTCCATCTGTGAGACTGCCTAGTGCTGCCCTGTGGCTGTCTTACCCTCGATGCATTCTCCATTTTTATACGCCTTTGATATATTTCTCCGTTTCTTCCCTCTGCCTTTTACCACACTTGGGAGTTTTCACATTTAGTCTGAGACAGAAACACCTTCTTCAAGAGCCATGGCTCACAGGGCTGTGGAAAACCTTGCACAGCCAGGCTCCCCTCTGCACCAGCTGCACAGACTGTGTGTGCACCTGCAACAGCAAATGCTGCTGAGATGAGCCATGAATCCATTTCCATCCTCAAGTTCCTGCTGGCCAGGGACTGCCTTGGCATTTTATTGGGTGCCAAATTAAGGGACGATGTTCTGGGTGTCTGTTTGAACGTGTGGCCATAAGAGCTTAAGACCCCAATCCTGGAATGAACAGACTTTGGGTGCAAAGCCACGTCAGCCCTCCTGAGTTCAAGAACTACAACCTATTTCCTTGCCTAGCTCTGAACGCAGCCCATAAACATGAAATACAGCCACATTCAAAAGAGGGCGAGGAGCAGCAGCACCTCCCTGCGCCTGCCAAAGCAGTGCTCTGCATTCTTGTTCTTCCTCTGACAAAGATCTTACTCTCTGCTGCTCTAGACAGCTACATTCCCTTGAAAGCCTGGCCACGAGCCTTCCTGCCTGCTCTGCGTTGCCCCCCAGCGCGCAGACTGGGGCTAAAGCATCCACGAGAAGAGGTCAAGAACACCAACTGTGTCAGGGGCCAAGAAGCCATTCATTAAAATGCTGGCTCCAGCTCCTCTCCCCTTGGCTCAGGCGGGAGCACACAGCAGTGACTGGGGGAGATAAGATATTCATTAAGGCCCTGGATTTTTTTTTTCCTCCAAGAGACAAATATTAATGAGGTTGATAGATATTGTGGGGCAGATATTGTCTGCATGGACTGCCTATCCTGCCTCCACGTCCACGTACCTTTCAGCATTTTGACTGCTACAGTCTCGCAGCTGTTACTTTTATTGATCCCAAATGCTGATGCTTCCACCACCTTCCCAAAGGCACCGTGACCCAGGACTTTACCTATGGGCAAGGAGAGAGGCAGTGTGAAGGCAGGCAGGTGCAGTGCAAGGAGAATGGGACAAAAACAAAAACGCCAACAGGAAACCATGGAGAGAAGAAAGAGAAAGAGTCATAAAGGAAAAGGAAGGAGCGCAACGTGTGCCCTTCCCAGGTGGCTGCTTGCTCTGCTGGTGAGAATAGGAGAAAAGCCAAGGGGAGGAACTGGGACAGAGCTGGCATGGACAAAGCAGAGGAAGGAAACGGTCTGCAGAGGTGAGGGGCTGTTTGTCGCCCTCGAGCAGAGCGTGCGAGAAGGGCAAGCGTGACAGCTTGCAGCAGGACTGCCAGGGCTAGCATCACTTCTCCGGGCCTCAGAGGTTGTCCACAGCCCTCCGAACCCTCCCAGAGGGCAGGGGGTGCAGGTGGGTGTCTTGGGGTAACAAATTCATTCCTGGTCCTCGTTTCTGGAGGGCAGCTGCTGAACATAGGGTACCTGCTGTGGGCTGAGCAGATCTGTCCAGTCCAGGCTGACAGAGAGCACAAGGATGTGTTTTAACACATGCCCAGAAGTCTTCTGATCTCAGGGACACCTACATGCGTATGCCCAGAGAGTCTGGATTTACAGCTGGCTCAGACTTGCATTTACAAGGTAGAGGAGCCAGACTCAGACCCAAGCAGAGCTGAGTGGCAAGGACAGCCTGGAGAAGCAGCCTGGAAGCCTGAAGCACAAGGAAGGCAGCAAATACACAGAGGGATGCAAGGAAGCTGGAGGGTGAGTTTGGAGAGTGGCTGCAGCGCACGGAGAGCAGGGATGAGGCCCCAGCTCACCTAGGCGCAGGCGATCCCGTGGGAATTCCCACTTGCTGGAATCGTAGGGCAGATATTCGCACTGCTCCTCCAGCGGCACCTCGCCGGGGTCCATGATGATGGAGAGGTAGCCGGTCTTGATGTCCGCGTGGGCAGGCTGCAGGAATCAGCAAGCACGGAGGGTGAAGACACACATTCCTTGCACCAGGTGCAAGCTCCCATTGGGTTCTTTTACCTGCCTTAACCTGCTTCCCCCGTCCCCTGTTGTGACCCTGTGCTTGGCAGTGAGGTCATTGGGAGCAGGACTCAGCAACCTCCCCTTGATGGATACTAATGGGAGGCCACTGAGGCAAAGGTGCCCTAGGCCCCTGGGGCAAATCAGCTACATACCCTTTTGATGTTACAGAAAATGAGGATGAGGAGAATCCAGAAGAAAACAGCGATGACCCCAGTCCCAATCAAGATCACAATTTCCACGTTGGTCTTGTCATCAGAGCCTGTGGGACAGGAGGGAAACTGCAGCCCCAGAGAGATGCCTGTTCCCTGCCCCAGCTCAGCCACCCCTCACGTGTGGAGACCCCAGGGAGGTGCCTCTCCCCTTGCAGAGACATCTCTCTCTGAAGAAAGCAGGGTTGAGGGATACTGCCAGAGCTAGATGTGCCCTAGACTATCTGCAGAGCCTCCTGTGACAGCACTGTGTCACCAGTGAGGCTGAGGGGCTGCCACTGCCCTCCCACTCCCCACGGAGGGAAGAGTGACGGGCCCTTGACCGCACTCCTGCTCGAAACGGCTCATCCCCGGGGTGTTGCTGGTACCTTCCACAGAGACGCTGGCCGAGGAGTTCACACAGCCCTTGGCATTGCAGACGCTGCAAAGGTAGAGGCCAGCGTCCTCCTCCCGCACCCTCTGGATGCTCAGCCTCTGGTTGAAGTCTGCCAGGTCGATCCCTGCAAGGCACAGAGGGTGATGGGCTCAGCGTGAGGGGTCTCTCACAAGGAGATAGGCCATTAGTAGATTAGACACGTTCAGGCTTAAAGCAAAGCTCTTGTTTTTTTGGTTGGTTCATTTGGGGTTATGGGAAGCCTGGAATGAAATTGCACCAGCTGGTAGAGAGTCTTCTCTGTGGCCTGATGGCCCTGGGGCTATCCCAGAGGGGCCTTCCCCAGGCAGCACATGGAGTGAGGGATCCCCCTCACAGGATGCTGGATGGGGCACTGTGCTCAGGTCATCCAGGTGGTGCAACAAGCACTGTTTCAGCTTCTTCCCCTCTGTAATGCTTTGGATCCTTCCCATGTTCCTTTTGTGGGATCTAAGTCTAGCAGAGATGCCAGGCTGAGAGTGCAGAGATGAATGACGCATCCCTCTTTGCTCTCCAGCTGAACGCACAGATAGTGCTGAGCCAGCCCCTCGGGCATGGACTTGGCCAGGGACAGTGCACAAACCAGGGCAGAACATGACTGAAACCAGAGTTCTGCCAACTCAGAGAACAGGTGCCTTTGCTAGGGCACAGCAGCTCCCAGAACCCAGCAGCATCCACCTCTCCGGCCTCTGGATGCGAAGCCCTGTCTTTGATTCACCCCCCAGCCCACTGTACCTGACACTTCTTCCACCAGCTTCTCATCTTTGTACCAGCTGATGTCGGGAATGTGGTTGCCGTCCACCTTACAGCGCATCTCTATGGAGTCACTGACATTCACCCAAATGTCTGTCAGGTTCTGCTTGAGGCGGGGGATCTCCAGGGCTGGAGCAGCAAGAGGAGAAAGAGAAAATGGAAATGCATTGATTGGATGAACAGTTGTGCTCCTAAGGAATTTTGGGTCTCTAACTGCTGCTGGCAGGTGTCTTGGGAAGCGGGTGCCCTGCCTTTGCCACCTTGACTTTAGCTTGCTTGTGGGGCTTCCCTCGAAGATGGCCTGGGAAGCAGGAACCCCCCTCTCCTCCAGCACCCCTGAGCACCCTCACCTTGCACGGAGATGTATTTCTTGTGGCAGTGCTTCTCCCGGGTCTTCCGGTTCTGCACCTCGCACACGTAGTCGCCCTCCTCGCCCAGGGAGATGTTGGGGATGGTGAGCAGCAAGGTCGCGTCGTTGGAGTCCGGCTGGAAACGCAGCTCCCCCTGCATTTTGGTGGCGTAGTGGTGGACGTTCTTGCAGTCCAGCACCAAGGGGTTGCCCTCCTCATCATGGAGCTTGGAGAGGTTCAGACGATACCACTGCAGGTTCTCATAAGTGTAGTTGTCTGCGTTGCAGCTCAGCTGTAGGTCCTGCCCTTCTATGGGCTCTTCTGAGGGCTGGGATTCAATCTCAAACCCATCTGGAATGGCTTTCAGGAAGAAAATGAATTTGGATGAAATTTCTAAGCTCAGCTGCCAGACAGAATGAAATTTCCTCCTTGAACCCAGTTCTCTGGCTTCCCAGAGACCCCCTATTTTCAGCCAAAGCAAAGAAAATCATCCTAGAGCAGAACTGTCCCACGGAAACTGCCAGCAACTGACAGCTCACACTCAGTGGGGTGCTAGGGGATGTGCTAAAGTCCTGGTGTCAAATTAAGACAGAGTCACAAATGAAACAAGGACAGAAGGTCTGAATTTGGCTGTTTCTTGTTCTTAGTTCACACACAGGGGTCTGCATTTCTTCCAGCAGTAACTGTACACACATTTGCACGTACAGGCAGTCCTAGAGCTGAGGTGGACAACTGCACATGCGGAGTGTTATTGGAGCAGCAGTCGTGGATGCTCATCTTCCTCCACAAGGACTGGTGGCAGCATGGATATTACCCCTTGCCTGGGTAAGGAGCCCGGGATGCTGGAGCCCTTGCATGAAGATAAGGCTCTGTTCTCAGATATCTCAGGCTCTAGGCAGCCTGCTGTGCCCCTGCTAGGCTCCCCGTCCTTGGTGCACAGGGGTGGGCTCCCCTCGGGGCAGGTCCTCCTGGCAGAAAGCTCGTGCACGGCCCCATACGGTCCGTGACTGCAGGCACCGCTGGTGGGCTCCAGCTTGCACAAACTGGGCATCCTTCCAGTGCCAAAATCTCCTGGGGACCCGATGGGGAGGGGGATGCCTGGGGCCATCAGGACCCTGCTTGGGAGCGGGTCAGGCAGTCCACTAGAGGATGCTCTTGGACCAGGCACATCCCCAGCCCCGGCATCACCTGGAGCAGCAGGACCCAGCTAGGGCTCTCAGAGCCCGGGAAGCCTCCGTTCACACCAGCCCTGGCATCCCGCAGGGCTCCAGCCTCCTGCAGCTCCGCAGACCTCCGGGTCGGCTCTGCTCGCCTGCAGCCTCCCCAGGCTGCACTTACAGTGATACGGTGGGTGCATTTAGGCAGACAAAGAGGGAGGGGGTCTCTGCAGTACTTACTGGTCACGTAGAAGTAGATGAGCCGCTCATCTCGACCCACTTTATTTGAGGCAATGCACTTGTACATGGCGGAGACGTTGGCCTCCTGGATGGCCAGTTTGCTGACTGTCTGATGGGGGAAGAGCAGCAGAATCAGTTAAGGAGAGTGAGAGGGAAGAAAAGCAGGAATTTTCGCTGTCCTCTGACGGCAAAGCATGCAGCAAGCCCTGCCCAGAGGGCAGCTGCACAGGGGAAGGATTGTGACCTTCCACAGGGGCTTAGCCGTGTGTTAGCACTTCTTTTATGTATAGCTGGAAATCAGACCTGAAAAAGCATCCCAGCTTCCACCATTTCACCATCAGCATCTTCCCCCTTTATATTCCAAGGGCTCATAGGCACAGTCCTGAAAGCTTCCTTCTCTCTCCTTCCATCAGCAAGACACGACTAAGATCAGGGGAGAGCCGGGCCGCTGTCTGGGATCGCGGCCCCGGAGACGCCGCCTCCGGCTAAGCCGGGAAAGGCGGCTGGGGAGCAGGCTCCTCTCCTCCTGCCCGGCGCTGCCGGCGTGCGGCACGCGCTCCCCTTAGAGGAGAACTGTGGAGTGAAGCACAGGTTTCTCCTCCTGCCCCGTTCAAATCACAGGACAGTTACGTGCAAAATTTCCTCTAATGAGACATCTAAAATGCAAAAAATGCAGTTCCTACAAAGGAAGCATTTTGCCTTTACTATTCATTCCCCACTCTTGGGGATGCATTTTAGTTCCAAGCAGCAATGTATTAAGTTGTGTTAATCAGAAAGAGCAGTTGTTTACTCAGTGAATATTCGATACAGCTGAACTGACCCCACAGGCACTTTTTTTTGCTGCCTTTCCTGTTCTTGGGGATTTTCACTCTGATCAGCCCTGTCATGTCCAAGCTGGGAGTTATGCATTTGACACCGTCCTGCTGTCCGTGGTGCACTGCTGTGCACTGCACGTACTGTGGCTCATTCTGACCTTCCCAGGATAAAACCAGAGACTTGTAAGGTAAGACAAGCAGAAAGGAAAGGGTCAGAGGAGATTTGAGAACAGTGTCTCACAGCAAGCAGAACAACTCTCTTCTCCCCGAGCTCTGGCAATCTTGGGCTGCACAGCCCAAGCTGGACACCAGCAGTTACACCCAGGCAGACAGGGAGTGAGAAGGACATGGCTGAGGAAGCCAAGGAAGAATGGGGATAAGGGAAAGAGCCCGTGGGGCAGATGAGTCACACGTGGTGGGGAGCACAGGGGCAGTGAGCTCTCCAAAGCCCTGCTCCCCTCCCCAGCACTGATCCCCGCTTCCCTCTCCAGCTGCTCTGGAAGCAGCAGCATCAGCTCCTGCCACCCTTCTGGCATAGCAACGAACTCCCGGCCGGGGCCGTGTAACGGGAAGTGACTTTGGAGGTGTGTAGGAAAACAGGAACTGACTTTAGGAAATGGGGGGCCGTTTGTTTGCTCTGCATCCCCCTGTGAGCGGCCGGTGCCTGACACGAGCCGGGAACAGGAACCCCGCCGTGGCGGAGGGCGCAGGGCTGACGCTCGGGGCTAGCGGCGTGGCAGAAACAGGCAGTGAGCGGTGCCTGGGTGTCCGCGGGTTACACGCGGGAACGAGGGAGCGATGTCCCTTCCGGAGAGGAAGCGCGGGGACGGCGGGACGGGCTCGCACTCGCATACCTGCAGCGTGCGGGCGCCAGCATTCGGAATCCACCAACCCTCGCCCTGCTGGGGCATGGGCAGCTAGATGAAGTGTCCCAGCACAACCAGGCGTGCTCCTGAGGCCAGAGATTTCCTGAGCAGCCTGTGGCTCCCGTTGCCCCTTTCTGAGTGGCCCTGCAGGGTTTGACTGGCCTCTCCAAAGTCGTTCAAGCAGGAGCCCTCGGGAAGGGCCATGGGAGCCCCCAGAGTGGAGCACGAGTGTTCCCTGCCTCTTCCCCAGCCCGGTGCCCCAGGTCCAGCAGGGATTGGGACAGCCAGATCAGCACGAGCTCCGCTCCGCAGGCAGCACCAGCAGGAGCCTCTCTGCACACAGGGCAGCTTCTCAAAGACAAGAGCTCTCCCCTGTGCTGGGGCTTGTACTGCCTGGCACTGCGGGGTCCAGGGCTGGCAATGGCCAGGCCCTGCTTTACTTTTAAGCTGAGGTGTGAAGCCCTTTCCCAATCTGTCTCTGCAGGTCTGGCTTCGTGGCTGCTTTTGCTGACGGATCGTGACGGACCCCAGCAAGGGCTCCGGTGTCCAGCTCCCTGCTCCCAGACAGCCACGGGGACATGGGCTCACCTTGTTCCGTCCTTCCACAAACTCCACCCAGGTGTCAATGCTCTCGATGGGATTCACTGCGTCCTGCTGCGACACATCCTTCCAGTCCTTGCACTCAGGCATCCGGTCCCGCTGATGGCGCCTCGCAGCCCGGTGCCTGCTGTTGCTAATCCATCGGGCAGGGAAAAGGAGACGGAGGAGAGAGATGGAGAGATGGTCAGCTGGGAAGCAAGCCAGCAAAAAACAACTTTTGTGTCTGAGAACTGTTGCCTCTGTTCTCCAACCCTGCAAAATTTCCTGAATCTCCTGGTCACATGGTCCTATGATGCTTTGTAACGGTGCTCTGCAAACACCAGTCAGCCCAAGTGTTCCCATGCCGAAAGGGAAAGTATTTAGATATGGAAACTGAGGCAAAAAAGGGGGGGTTGGTGTCCCAGGCAGAGTCTTTAGCCCCATGCCTGTGGTTTCATCCTTCCCTGATAAGGACGGAGAAAAGCAGAAGCGAAAACCACTCATGTGTGGCCAGGGCAATTCTCTGTGTTGCCTTGCTCAGCAGCAAGGTCTTAAACCCACGCTGGGACCACGAGTCAGGGCTCTCTTGGCCTTGCTGAGTAGAGATGCTCATGGATCCCCACATCTTCAGGGCTGAGCGAGCTGAGCAGGGAGAAGAGTCCAAATCCGTTAGGGAACAGGGACACTGGAGTCTGGGGGCAGTTTCTGACATGCAGGTGAAATGGGAGATGCGGATGGGCTGCCTGGGATGCAGGCTGGGAGCTGCAGAGGTGCCCGGAGCGGGGAGCGCGGGGCGAGGGCTGAGCACTCGGCATGGCCAGCGCGCCGGCGAGCTGAGTAAACAACAGGAAGCCCGAAAGAAGCCTCCTGTATCCTCCGGAGCTACGCGAGGCAGAGCCACGGCGGCCTTGGGAGACAGTGCTCATAATTCATGGGCCCTGCTGCTTCCTGGCAGGGCCACGGCGCTTGCGTGTGACAAGGAATGCGCCGGTGGCCTCGGCTCAGCCAGGGCCGGCCGGGGCTGCATGAGCTGCTCTCTGGGCACGGTGCCAGCGCAACCCCGTGGAATCTCTTTTCCCCCTCCCTGCAAGACCCCAGCTAAAAGGCCACCATAGCCCTGCCTGGTGCTCCGCACGCTGCAGAGTGGCCAGGTGCTGGCAGCAGGGTTGGGTCTCCCGGGCTGGCACCTCTTCCCTGCACGCAGCAGCTCCCATCCCTGTCTGAGGGCGCTTCTGCTTTCATCGTCACCCAGCAGAAGGGGAAGAACGAAAAACCAGTGGGATCTCAGGGCAGGAATGGGGAGGATGCTGGCCAAGGAGCTGCGATACCTTCCTCTGCAATTGTGTGGGCTTCCCCACTAGCCTGTGGCAATAATGACAGTCAGCCCCAAAGGCAGCCTGAGGAGGCTACGAGTTTTGCCCTCAGTTATCAGACCCTGCCCTGGCCCCTGCCCTGCAGCCCCCCAGCTTGGAGGGTACCCGGTGCTCTGGAGGGCACAGATGCCCACGGCCTTTCTCCTGGTGGCAGTGGGAGAAGGGACACTTACAGGCTGCGTCGGGAGAACATCCGGCAGGGCATCCACGGCCTCCACTGCCACTGGATCACCTCCGGCGCCGGGATGCCATAGACTGTGCAGGTGAGGGCCTGGGGGCTCCTCCGGGAGTAGATGCTCGGGGAAGAAGCTTCCTTCTCATGGATGCGTGGAGGAACTGCAAGCATCAGAGCAACAGTGTCCGTGACCAGCTTGGCTGCTGCGTCTCCCCAGGCCAGGCACAACCCTCCCTGGGCCCATCTGCAGACAGAGCAGCCACGAAAGCACCGCAGCTCTCAGGGCTGCTCCTATGGAGCTCAGACACACAAGGCAGAGCAGCTTATACTTAGGCAGATCCAAGTGATGCCATTTCTCCTTCCTCTGCAGGACGTCACTGTCTGGATGTTGCATGACTCAAAGCACTGCCTGGCAGCCCCCAGCACGGGGCTGCAGGGCCAGCAGGGACAAATCCCCAAGCAACGCTGCCCTTCCACCTCTCCTTGAGCTGGCAACTGGATCTCATTTGACAGGGACTGGTTTCTGCCAGGGAAAACTCCCTAGGAGCTGGTGGTCACTCAGAGGACTGCTCCAGCTCCAGGCTCCATGCATGTTGCTGTTTCCCTGCCCTGAAGTCCCCATCAGTCAGCATCACCCTCAGCAACCCCTCAGGTTGTTTCCTCAGCTGGGAAACAACCATTGAGCAAGGGCATTGCCTGCCCCAAAAAGGAACAGAAACTTCAGTGGTCTCAGCCCAGTACCCAGGCCACAAAGAACCAACCTAGATGTAACTGGAGCACCCCTGAGCAATGGTGATGAAGAAGATGCAGGTACCAGCTGCTTTAGGAAAGCAACAGGGGGGCTCTGCTCTCGGAGCAGCCCGGAGGCCAGGGCCGTGTGTGCCCCTGACCCCATCCCTTACCATTGACGATTAACTGGAGGCTGATGCGCTTCTCCAGCCCCGCCAGCCTGTTCCGCAGAACCAGCGTGTACATCCCGGCGTGCTGCTCCGACACATCCTTGATCTGCATTGAAGATTGAGATTGCTTGGGAATTAGCTTCCCGTCCTTGTACCTGCGGGGAGGCAGAGAGAAGATGCAGCCATGGGGAGGAAGTGTCCCCGTGGCAGCGGGGCAGGGGCTTGCCGGCCCCTGTCACACAGTCAGGGCGCCCTGTGATAGCCCTGAGGACCTCTCTGGAGGGACTCCTGTGCCCTCCCGTGGATCTGCACGCTGTCCCCTCGGGATGTGCACTGGGGCTGGGAGGTTGTGTCTCTGCCTGAGCACTGCTGTGCCGTGCAAAGGGCTTGTCGTGGTGTGAGGGAGCCAAGGGCTCCCAGGTGTGGGCATGCAGCATGGCACGGCGCATGGCCTGGGGCTCTCCCTCCGTGTGCCCTGCTGCAGGGATGCAAGCTCCTGTGGGAGCTCTGCTCAACTTCTCCACACAGCTCGGAGGTGCAAACCTAACAAGGACCTTTGTAGCTTCTCTCCCAGACTTCACTTCCCCTATCCTAAGATGGGCTGGTGAGAGCCATTGGGGAAACATCCTGGGGACACGGGCACCCCCTGCACAAATGGGAGAAGGCAACATTTGGGATGATCTTGTCCCATGTGGGACTTAGCAGGGAGGCTAGGCTAAACTTCCCTCCTTGGCAGCGGGATGAAGGAGAGGGGGTGGCTCAGGCCAAGAAAGGTGCGTTACCACTGGAAGTCTGGCGGGGGATAAGCCACGACTTTCACCGGCAGCTTCACGGCTTCATCTCCTGCGGTGGCTTCTATCACTGGCCCTTTCCTCCACTCCACGTTGATGAAAGGCTTTTCTGCAAAAGCCGAGCCGAGCATTGAGAAGAGGAAAGCACAAAGGGACACGTTATCACCAAGCTCTGCCGCTCCCCACAGGGCCAGACAGTGAGGGCCAAGGCCAGCTCAGGTGTTGCAGCAGCGCAGACAAAACTGGCTTTTGCCACAGCAACGATGAAGCCAAAATATCTGAAAACCCCTCTTCTCCCCTCTGCCCATATGGCCTTCAGTCCCTCTCCCACAGCCCTATTCTCAGCAGGCTCTCTCTAGAGCAGAGGGAAAGGGATGGAGGCAGTGGCAAGTAGTGCTGGCCAGGCCAGGCAGGAGCGTTTGGTTGCTGAGAGCCAAAGAGCTGCCTCTGATTTGTCATCGTGAGCCTCTGGTCTTGGGCCAAGCGCTTCCCAAGAGCTCTGGGAATTGCTCTGCTTGCCGGCTCGGCTCTCAAGCCGGCTGCGAGGGCGCAGGAGGGAGCCGTACCGTGCACGATGACGTCGGTGCTCTCCTGCAGCAGCTGGGCGCCGTTGGTGGCCGTGCACGTGTACTTGCCCAGGTCCTGCTGGCTCACGTTCTGCAGGGTGAGGATGCTGGAGAGCTCCGTGTGCGTCTGCAGGGACCGCCGCTCGGGCTCCGTCACTGCCCGCTGTGTCTGGTGGGAGACAGTGGAAGGAAAGGGGTGGAGGTCATACAGAAGGGACAGGACATATAGATGGGCTCTTCAGGCTTGTGCTTCTCACTGCCCAGTGCTCGCCTCTCCCCGTGCATCCCAGGCAGGTGACTCCACCAGTGACTGCCATCCTTGGGGATGGGAAGGCAATGAGCCCTGCAACTGGCAGCATGAGGCTGGGTTGCAGCTCAGCACAGATTTGGCTCCAATCCACAGGCCAGTAACCAGGCTGGGAGCCCTGTAGCTGGATGCAATGATGACCTGAGAACTTCCCTCTGCAAATATTCACAATAGCTTTCCACTGCTGTGTGGCAAAATGCAGTGGGAAAGGAAACCACATGAATCACTTGCAGGCTCTTGGTAACCAGATCTGTGAGGCTGGGATAGCTCCTGGCAAGAGGAACAGTGAGAGGCCTGGAGGGGATGGCTCGGAAAGGCCGGGTGTTCAATGCACAGCGAGCTCTGTTTGCCTGTACCTGTTTGCCAGGATAAGTCCATTGGAAGCGGACACCGGAGTTGAACTCAGCCCACACTGTGCAGTTGAGGACCAGCTTCTCTCCCACTAGCAGCTCCATGGCTTTCTTGGGGTACAGCTGGATGTCATACAGCTCGCTCCCTGATACACGGATGGCAAGAGAAAGACACTTGTGATCTATTAACTCTTTAAAACTAAATTTGAATTGGAAAGCAGCACAAAAAGCATTAACAACCCGGGAAGTGCAGCTCAGACTGTGCAATCACAGGAGGCCACGTAGAGCCTGCTACTGCTTGGTGCAGCTCAGCCTGGCGCACAGCAGGGCATGATGCAGAGTCTGCTGAGCTAAGCCAGGGCCACGATAACCCTGTGAGGACATCCCGGGGACACAGAGCTGAGAACTGCAAAGCCGTCCAAACTGCCCCATGTGTGTTCCCAAATCCTCACCTGCTATGTGGATAATGAAGAAATTGGATTTGAAGACCTTCTTGTCGATGACAGTCTCACACTGGACGAACAAGGAGTCTCTGATCAGGTGTGTGGGCACTTGCACCCCTTTCTTGTTGTCCCAGAAAGTGCTTTTCCCGTCAGGGTAGATGAGAGAATTTTGCTGGAAAAAAAGCAATGTTTTTCCAAATGAAATGATAAGGTAACACCAATCCCATCCCACCCTTTCTTGGCCTCATGATGGCTAACATGGCCCTTTTGTGGGGTAGAAAGATGCAGCATTAAGCCATGCTGGTCTTCTACCCTCCCACCAGAGTTTGTCATCTAGGAATCGTGGCTGCCTGTACGTCCCACACAGCGAGTGTCACCGTCTGCAGAGCAGGCCAGGGACTTCCAGGAATGGAAACTGATAGTGATAGCTAAGGAAACTGGTGCTGATGTCCCAACCGTAAGCCCCAATAACGAGTGCTGACCTTGGATAGTGTCCTTCCTGGGCAAGGGAAAGGCCCCTGGTGCCCAGGGTGTCCCTGGAGGCCTTTGTACAATAGAAACACTCATCCTGGAAGGATGTATTTGCATTGTGGAAAAAAAAAAAAAGAAAAAAAGGGAGAAAAAAGGCATGCTGATAATAGAGTTGTTTTTAGCCATCAGCCCCAGTGCTGGAGCCTCCTCCCTCCTAGGGATGCTGACCACCTAGACAATTTGTAGATCACAGAGACTAGAGCAAACAGGGGATGCTGTGGGGAAATGGGATTAAAACAAAGTCTTGTTTTGCTTCACAGAGCTCCAGGGAACAGGAGCAAGGCTGGCAGGAAACCCACAGGGTCTGCCCCAGGGACCTGGACAACCCTGCTCCAAACAGCAAATAAAACGAGGAAGCCAGTGGCTTGTACTTTCCATGGAAAATGTATCCCATGCATTTTCCATTCCTGGCAGTGTCTGTCCTGCTTCCAGTTGGGCAGTTAAAAATGCACAACAAATGCGGTGCAGCCTGGCCCAGAGCCCCACGTGGCCAAACGCTCACCGAGATCAGCGTGACATTAAGGTTGGGGACGGACACCAGGCACGGCACCCAAGTGCTCTCCTTCTTGCTGATGAGCAGAGTCTCCGGCTTGTTGATAAATGGCTGTTCGAAATCTGAGGAAGAGACACGGAGAAAAGAACAACTGAACAGAGGCAGGGGAAGAACCGGGATGAGGGAGGATCCAGAAGAAAAGGAGACTCCCTGGCTTTCACTGGCACAGCGTGAGCTTGGCAGGAGCGGAGCCGAGCGGGACGGCGGATCCGCTGGAGCTCAGCCCCTGCCCAGCTGGTGCCGACGCAGGGCCCCGGCGTCCGGGAGCGCGACCTCGGCGCGCGGAGGAAGTGATCCGCAGCGCATGGCATGCGCGTGTCATCCTGCAGCGCGCCCGGCCGGCGCATAAACAGATGAGCTGAGCTTTCCAGAGCTGCCAACCACCGCCTCCCGACGCCTGCAAGTGCAAATATTGACAGGAAGAGCACAACCACCCCGAATTAATCACTGAAACGACTTAGCACGTCGACGCTACAACTCCTGCACGCAGGACATGCAGTGCAAGGGTCCAGAAGGGAATGCCCACACAAGGGGCTGCCCCAGCCTGCTCTGCCTGTGCCCAGCGACACAAAGCCCCACAGGTGAGGCCTCTTTTTAGTGGTGGCCATCAACAGAAGTAGAGGAAATGGCCACAAACTGAAGCACCAAAAGTTCCACAGGAGCTTAAGGAAAAATTTCTTACCAGTGAGGGTGCCAGAGCACTGGAACAGGCTGCCCAGAGAGGTTGTGGAGTCTCCTTCTCTGGAGATCTTCAAACCTGCTTGAACGCAGCCCTGTGCCATGTGCTCTAGGTGACCCTGCGTGTGCAGGGGGGTTGGACTAGATGACCTCTAGAGGTCCCTTCCAACCTTCAGCATTCTATGATTCTATGACTCTATACGTGCCCATGGCCAAGGGGAGTCAATAGCCCTGACCCATCGTGCCAGGCACCGTTCAGACAGAGCACAGAGAGAAGCTGGCCCCAGAGAGCTGCCGAGCTAACAGGGCAGCAGGGAGACCCTTTCCTAGTATTTTCCCACTGGAAAGGGCTGATGAGAAAACAGGACCTACTTCTCTCCCTACCCACGGTTAGCAGCCAGGCTGGGTGAAGCTTCTCTTTAAGCCCCTCGTGCCAGCTGCTGCTGAGGGACTGCTTACCTGACTCTTTGGCAATGTTTTTAGTCTTTCAGTTAGTATTTTAGTTCAGTTTCAAGTTTTTTTCCTACTCTTTGAACACAGGTGAACATGGAAACCTCACCAGACACAAAGGAGCAGCCACCAACATCAACTAAAGGGGACGAGGAGAAAACTCGAGAAAAGACAGCAGGGTGCAGGGCCACGCGGCCTGCCCTGGCAGCACGTCACCGATGGGCATTTTCTTCCAAAATCCTGTCACATGGGCACTGGACATCAGGACTGATCCACAGAGTCTCCAATGCTCCCTGCTGCCAACCTCCTTCCTCTGTAAGAGTGACATCCCTGGAAACACACCCGGTATAAGGCCATGATTGACTTCGTTTGTGGAAAGTGTCCCCAGGTGAGGGAGCTCCATAAACAGATGAGAGGTCCCCAGCTGGGAGATGTGGGACTGCTAGGGGAAATCTTAATGACCCCAGCAATCTTAACAGCTATTCTTTACTCACCTGGATGATAGTCAAACTATCGATTTGAAGGGATTGTAGAGAAAGGAGAACCATTTGTCCAGCCTTTTCCTCTACTACCCAAACCCTAAAGCTGCCTATCTAAAATGATGATTTAAGGATAAAAGTAGTAATGATCCCTATTCGTGAATCTTTTTATTCAAATCACATTGGGCTCAATACAATGCAACCTAGAGGTCACAGTGTTAAGAGCATAAGAGAATTCCTTTAATTTTTGCTATGTCAAGCTGTTTCTTCAGTCATAGTCATGATGCAAAGACCTACTCTGGGCCAAATGCTTTTTTTCCTACAGCTTAAGTGGAAAAAAAGCCATGTACAGGGAACATACTGGTCAGCTGTTCATGAAAATAGGGACTCCCTAGAGAAGCCTTATCTCTATTTTCTGTGGCTTTTCATTGCCACAGGATTGCTCTCCTCTGAAATTGCAAATATGTTTCTGAGCGCAAACACATTCCTCTTCCCTTCCCAGAGCCCTGGGCACGTGAAAGGGAGGAGACACAACAGCCAGAGGTGAGAGACCATGAGCTCCCCTCCAGGCTCAGCTGGCAGCCAAGAGCTAACTGATTTACTGGGCAGGTCCTGCTGCCAATGAGCCAGTGATTCATGCACTAACTCCCCGCTCTGACCACATCGCATATTTTGTGTAAGGCTGTTTTAATGGGTCGGGTGGGAATAATTTAGCTTCTTCTTCATTAATATATGATAAGCCTTATGAGATGGGGGATGTACATATTCTATTCCACCCGGACGAGGCGTTCTGTATGTTTCCAGCGCTGCCTATAGAGCTAATGAAGCACACACCTAACCCCACACACTGGAAATAAGACGTGTGTGGAGAGTTCGGCTCAGAGCTGCAGGTAAAACACAGAGGAACCCATTCTCCCAGCCAAGTCCAAATATGTTGTTCCTGGCAATTCCACCAAGCTCTTAACATGAGAAATGAGGTTGATGGCTAAATCCGTGGTCTGATCATGCTGTCTCCGAACATCCCCAACACTTACATCAGCCTTCCCAAGCTCTCCAGGGACAGCTTCACATTGCAGCCCAGCGCAGCAGGAACAGGCAGGACTTTATCAGGAGGTTCTGCAATGGCTGTGGTTACCATATGCCCAGGTTTTCCTGGACATTTCCCTTCTCCTGCCTGGAAAGCCTATCCCAGCAGATCCAGTGGTTTCCTGGATGTTTGGTAGTCATAAGAGGGCACAGCCAGACTGGAATCAGCGTGAACATGTGCTGCATGTGCCCTGCGGTGCTGCAAGGTGTTGGCTGGGTCTGTTGCACACACGCTGTCCACAAGCACCGCGAGTGCTCCGCGCCCCGAGGGTGTGAGATTTATTGCCCAAAAGCTACACCGCATGTGCGCCCTTCCTGCCATTGTAAACAGCAGAGCCATTAGCGAGCTGCAGAGGAGGCCAGGGGTGAGAGAAGGTGGCCAAGGGGGCAGAGAAAACAGTGCTTGCTGGATTGCACTGCTCTGGGTGATCCGAAGGCTGAGTTTAAAAAAATAAATAGAAAGGAAACCCACATCCACAGGCAAATCAGGCTCTTGCAAAAGCACACGCTGCACATAAGCCACATAGGTGGTACTTTGCCATGCGCATAGGCAACTCTCTGCCTCCATCCTGACCCAGCCTTCAAGAGCAGTGTCTGAGCACCCACCTCCAATGCATGGACATATCCTCACGACATGCCCAACGTGCAGGGAAGCTCTGTCCAGTTTTAGTGATGGGCAACAGAGCCCATGGGAAGATGAGGCAATTGCCCAAACAACCACAAACCCCATTTTTTATTGCCAGCAGCTGCCCAGCGTTTTGTGATTTGCCTCTGCATTTTTCTCTGCATAGTTGCAGAGGAAATTCTGCCATGCCCTGGGACTGCTGAAAAATGTGGCTTGTATGTCATGACCTGCCTGGCTCGTGGCAACAGCAGCAACTAATAAATGGCAGTGGAAAGAGAAATAGCTCAGCCAACTGCTTGCAGGGGACAGCGCTCGTTTGTCTTGCTCCAGCAAACCTCTAGTTGTGCAGCAGGGGAGACGGTGGACAAGGAGCCCCTGGGACACAGGGAAACGGAGCATCAGTCCTGCTGCTCCCCGGCCTTTCGCCGAGCCGAGATCCTGGCTCTGGGCCTGGCAGACGGGCCATTTACTCCAGAACAGACCTCCTAGTGCCACCCGCACGGGCAGCCCCTGCTCAGAGGGCATTGCCACGGCAGGGCCAGGCCAGCCCGCGCGGACAGGAGCGACACACGGTGGGGATCACCGCTCCCCATCTCCTGGACCAGCACTTTATGGAACATTTTTGTCCCTATCTCTGCTCTCTGAGAGCCCCCAGACACTAATTCCTGTTTTTTTTTAGCAGACGAGTGTCTCCAAAACCCGTCTCTCGCTCCTTAAATTCCTGCATTCCAGCCTGGCTGGAGTAATGTCCCCAGGCCAGGAGATAAATGAATCACGGGCACTGCTGCAATCCCTCAGAAAAGGACGGATATTTATTCCCCTGCAGCATGGAAAGCTGCCCCGTGGCAGCTCGGCTGTGCCCTGCTGCCCTGGGAAGCCAGGGACACGTTGGGATTTTTCATCTTCCTGACTGTATGCCGGTGTGTAGGCTGCCCCTGAGCACCCCCTGCACCGCTGGAGGGCTCTTACCTCTGACGAACACGTAGGCGCTGACAGCCGTGGTGCCCTCGATTTTGGCATCGATGTACTTGTAGTAGCAGCGGTAGTAGCCCGTGTCGTTCGCCTGCGTCTCCGTCAGCACCAGGACTTTGCAGTACGGCTTCGTGCCGGTGCCCTCGCAGTCGTCCTCGCGGATCGCCCGGCCGCTGCTGGGGGCTGCCGAGGCCGCAGGTTCCGCCTCCTTCTCCTTCCCAGCGGGGTCCACTTTGCCCCCGGGCCACGACCACTCCAAGGGGTGCTGGCCTCTAGGCACAGGAATGGGGAGAGTTAGCCCTGGTCTGCCCAGGATGCTGGGGGGCAAGTAGAGGGCTCGTCCCCGTGGCAGCTAAGGGAATACTAGGCTGTAAGACATCACTCAGCTCACGGGCAGGTCTCCCTCTCCCATGACTTTGTCCTACCAGTGCTGATGCCCAGAGAGGTTGTGGAGTCTCCTTCTCTGGAGATCTTCCAAACCCGCTTGGACGCAGTCCTGTGCCACGTGCTCTAGGTGACCCCGCGTGTGCAGGGGGTTGGACTAGATGATCTCTAGAGGTCCCTTCCAACCCTGAGCATTCCATGATTCCATGATTCTATGCCAGGAGCCCCTCAGGGCTGAGAGGAAAAGGATCCATTTATTCTCTGTTCCCTCTCAGTATTAAAAAGGTTTGTAGTTATTAAACAAGCACATGGATGCAACAAGTTCCCCTGGCTCCATGCAGCTGCTGGCTGGAGCTCTGGATGTGATGAGAGGGATGGAGAATGAGAGGAGAGCGGGCTGGAGAGAAGAGAGAAAAGCAGGAGAGAGTCAGGGAAAAAGGAGAGCAAGGAGGAAGCAAGAGGGGGTTATACAGGTTGGTTGCCTTGTGTCCAGCTGCGTTTCCTTCCCTGCTGCAGCAGAACATCCACCTGCCCTGGGCTGCTGCGCGTTCCCATCGCTGCTGAGCCACACGCAACCCTTTGGCAGAGGGTGACTACAGAGCCTGCTCACCAATGTCACGTGCAACAGGGCCAAACAGCAAAAGAAAAGCCCAGGAACTGCAAGAACGCCCCAGACAGAACATGCACATGTGCATCCATATGCAGCCAGGGATCTCCAGAGAAGGAGACTTGCCTATGCACATGTAGGCACACGCGTGTGCTCTAACATAGCTTGGGATAATTGCACTTGTTTGCTACAAACAAAACAAGCTTTTATCCCATCCTGGAAGTTTCCCTCTGTGAAATCAGAGACCCTTTTAGACAAAGGCCTAGTCCATGCTTGAAAGTTTGCCAGCGTAGCTGAAAGTCACTTAAGAATGTGTAAAAAAAGAAATGGAAAAAGAGTAGACGTCGCAAGAAACAGCTGTAAGGGCAGAAATGGACCTTTGTCAGCACTGCGTGTTCTTCTGGGAGATTCTGGATTCATCCCTTATGCAAGTAAGGAATGTACATGTATTCCTGGCAGCCCTGGCAGGCAACGCCAGCGCAGCTCGGCGGGCGGATGCTTTTAAGCGCAGCCAGGCCACGGTTGTCACCGATAGCTGGGGACAGCAAGGAGGAAGTGAGATAAGGTGCCATCGGAGGGCACAATGGAAGAGC